GAAGAGATCCTTGGATGCCTCATCCTTCTCTTCCGTCGGGGCATGGGCGCAGATGAGCGAGATGTTGAAGAATCTCGCTTTGATGCGGATTGTGGCTAGACGCTCGTCCACCGGGGTGAACGACAGTACTCGGCGACGGAGTCTCTCTCCCACCACAAATCCAACTCCGAATTTGCGCTCCTTTACATGGCAGCTGTAGTAGACGTCGCAAGGCCCCAGACATTGTTTGCCTTGCCCCGTCCAACGCATTTCTTGGATGGCGGTGATGTCAGCTTTTGTCCTTACGAGGACATCAACCAGCCGGGCAGAGGCACCTTCCCCATTAAGGGTCCGGACATTCCAGGTGCATGCCCTCATATATGGCTTAGATAACAGTTATTGAAGAGTTTTATTTATAAAAGTTATCAATAAAAATCAGTCAGTGACTTTTACTTATACATATGTATAATTTTATGTGCAAAGTATATATTTAGTATTTCCACCAATGTAAGTATTTTAATTTTAAATAAAGTAAAATTACATTGTAGTAAACGACTCCAATTGTGAACAATTTTACAAATCAATGATTTTGTATACTCGAAAACATATGATAACTAAAAAACAAAACAGAACTAATTAAAACGAGGAAGTTTAATAACTAAAAAAAAACATCATAAAGCGCTATCTGCTAATTTAAGGTCATTTTTATAAAAAAGCAAAAGTTTTAAAGTAGGCATTAACAGCGGTTTATTATTTCGCAGTTTCCCCGAAACACCATATTTGGAAGAAAAATCACACCTACATATGTATGTATGTTAGCGTTGCCAAATGTCCCGTATTTGCCGGGATATCCCGCATTTTGCATGAATAGGTAACACACAAAAAAAAAACTTGAAAAAATCGATGGTTATTTTTAGCGACTTGAAACTTGCACTTTATTATACTAAAGTTGAATGCGCTATAAAGCTACTCGAAATCTTTGTGGGAAATCTAATTAAAAACATTGAAATTTTGATGAAAATTTTTTTAAGTTTAATTGGTTTTTGCGCAGGCTTTAAAACTTTTATTTATGAGGTATCTTGTAGAGATCGATCCATACTTTAAACGAAAATGATTAACAAAAAATAAATAAAAGAGTTGCCAATTGCATATTTTTGAATTTTTCTGCTATTCTTTTGTTTTTATGGTTTTGTCAATTATATGTCCACGTACATATGTATTACATATGTACAATATTTTTGTATAAATTATATTTTGTATAAATGTCTGAACATTACTTTTGAAATGGATCACCCTTGCTAATATATGTATGGGCTTTTAAAGCAAATCCTTTATTTCTCATTTGTCTTGTTAAATTTTTGTAAATCCCGTATTTTTGGGACACATTATGCGTTTGTCCCTTATGGCTGGATAAAAAATCTGGCAACACTAATGTATGTACGTGGTTTCATTATGATGCAAATAAATAATAATTTACGGTCTGAAGGTAGCGCACATATCCATACATACTACATGAATGTGTATGTACATTAGACCATGTCGAAAAGATCCTGCGATGCGACCGGGTCCCGACTTAGTATTTGGTATAGTAATGATCTGAACGATAATTCTAAGAGGCCGTGCATCGAGCGCTTACTTTTCCCATATGAATAATGTGTAATCAATCTAATGTGACGTCAATCTATTTTCTAGTTCTTTAATTCCAATTGTTTTCTTGTAATTAATAGATTTGACCCAAACAGGGCAAGAGATTAAAAAAGGATAATTTAGGAATTTAAAAAATCTGAGTCTTTATAAGCTGTTAGCTGACTACATTGTGCCTCACGTTGCACAGCAGAACCGACAAGGGCGTCATTGAAAAGACAAGAGAGACTAGTTGTGTTGCTAAATGAACGAGTATTTCATTAGTTAAAAACTAAACTTTTATACTCCAGGGTAACTCAGGTGTGCGAACGACTGTCAGTGTGTCTGAATGGGTGCAGATGGATATTACATACGGGTAACTATGTACATACATACATATGTACATATATTGGGCGTCTGCATGTAAATAATTTGTTAGCAACGGACAGCTGTCGTGCGGTTGACTGTTAATTAATTAGCGCTATTATTTGAAAATTCACTTTTCATTCACGCTTTTGCATAAACGTGTACATATGTATGTATATGCATAAACCATTTTTCTTTTTTAGATTTTAAATACAAGTAATACTGCTATTTTTTGTTCATTTACGCTCTTGTCAAAAGTGTTAATTTGTTACTGTAGCGAGGAGACCGTTGGACGAAGACCTCCACAAGGTAAAAATAAAACTACATACGTGCGTGAACTTTGCATGTATATACATATGTACATACGTATATGTAAATATAGATAAGTAGGTGCATGTATGCAATGTAAACAAGTAGGTTTACTTAAGGCGCAGTCTTAAACATATTTATGTATGTACACATACTCATTTATACAGAAATATTTACTTTCATTATAATGTGTTAATTTATGCTGAGTTTCGATGCTTATTTAGCACTTCAGCTCGCGACAAATGCCAAAGGCCAAGGCATAGACAAAAATCTACATAAATATCGGAGTAATAAAATAAAAGTATGTACATATAGATACATAAATATTTATATTGTCAATCCTTTCTTTTAAATGCGGATCCGTACGGTATTCAATTAACCCTTATTTTTGGCGGCTTAGTTTTTAAATTTTCGTATTTTTTTGCGCCATTAACTGCTGTAAATTCGCCGTCTTGGTTCGTAATATTGATCATCTTCAGGTCTTATCCTTTGGGATTCTAAAAGAAATTATAGACGCCATTACTTCTGATATTCAAGACTCTCAAGACTTCATTGTTCTTATAATTTTTAAAGCGAAATCTTTTGGTAAATTGTTACAAAATGAACTTTACGTTAATTTGATGTTAAAAAAAATTGTTAAATAACACGGTTGAACAAAATTTGGTCGTATTTTATCTCAAAAACCTCGAATTCTCAACCATTCTAACCTAACTGAAAATTTGTTAACTACCGCTAAATATTTTTGTGGCTATCATAATACCATTAACCCCGCCATAGTTCATCGTTTTACCATGGCTTGTGAAAAACGAGTAATACCACCAGATGATTGATACGTTTTCTCACCTGACCCTCCACTTTGTCTGCTGTGTTAGCATGCTTCTACCGACATACATACATACATAGATACCTACAATTCAGAGTTAAATATATAGATACGTATTGACTTTATGTGTTGTGATTGTGATTTTTTCGCTGGCTAACGACATTGAGATTTCGTTTAGAATATAATATTAAAAAAAAAATTCACTTTCGATTGGCATGTGTAAATCCATATGTACATTAGGGTGGTCCAAAAGGAGTAAAGTCGGAATATTAATGTTCTCATCCCCTTGGATTATTCTACGCCGAAAAAATATACCCATATTTTTTATTTTTAAATCAAAAAATATTTAGAGGTCGCTCAAAGCGCTCAAAATTTTCGATGTACATACATATATTATATGGTAAAGAACAATTTTTTGTAGAAATGGTATAGAATTTTTCAAAACCAATATTTTGCGATTGAAATACTTTGCTTCTCTTCAGGAGACTTCCAATAACAATACCCACTTGTTAATTTAACCTTTTTCTATTATTAAAATTTTTTATAGGACCCATAAAAACCTCAAGAATGCAATGTGAGACCCATTTCATTTATATAATTTTGATAATTTTTTTTAAATATAGTTTATTCTTTAATAAAAACCGTATACGTCCAATTTTTGAACTTTCAGCAATATTTAAAAGAAATAAACAAATTTCAAGCTTTTCAATTAGGTTTAGTAGAAAGATTTTGAGTATGCAGTTTGAAGTTTGATTTTTGGCAATTGTTTTGGTTGAAGTGTTGTAAAATCAACGGCAAGCTGGATTTAAATGCTTTTTGTTAAAGAAATAACCTTATTTTTATAAAACTAAATTATTCAAAAATTTATTGCTAAAACTTGTAAAAAGGTACGTGGTGCTCATATAATTTTGACACGGGTTATATACAGTACATAAATTCGCAACCATATGCCATTAATAAACAATTCATATAAAAAAATGTACATATGTTTGTACTACACAAAACTGAAATTTTACAGCCACAAACATTTATACTCACTATTTAAATATCGATTAATGTGGGAGTTTATTGCATTGATTGACCGCAAGCAAGAAAATGGTGTGGCACGAACAAGAAACTTTTTATGCAACGTCCTTTTTGAGATGACCTTACTGTTCTTGCATACATATTTATTGAATTTTTCATTGACACGCAAATGCATTAAAAAAAGGCTACTTACAAATGCTATACTCGTTAAATTGTGGTGACTCAACTGAAACTAATAAAACAAAGAAATTTGCTGTAGTCCACTTGTGCTTATTTATATATACTATAGCTTTTATCGGTGTTATGGTGTAATTAAGTTAATTTCATTACAGGGTTTGGCATGCAACGGCCAAGTGGTCAGATGTGGCCTAGACTCAAGAAAGTTTTGTGCCGTATTGGAAATATGAAACAGGTCACAAGCTAAGTTTCCTTAAAAAGTCCTAATTTTTTTAAATAATCCTATGTGCATATGTACATATATATGTACATTAGGGTGGTCCAAAAATGCATGTGAAAAAGTAAAGTCGTAATTTTTTATGCTCTCACCCCCTGTTGGTTTTGTAAAAACAGATGTGCTCTTAATTATGGTTTGACTATTGCACCAAAACAGAATTACTGTGGGAACTGTTTAATTTATGATAGATTGCTCGCCAAATAGAGCAGATATCGTGAAATATTTATCGCAGTTGCACATATACATAAACAAGTAAGGGCAGTGCTGTCTTCGGCTAAGCTGAAGGCTACATACCGTTCATGAACATCAGAAAATTTTGTATCAACAGATTACTGTTAGCTGAAATTAGCTGTTTGGGAGCTAAACACAATTATTTATATTTACTGCATTCATAGATAGAGGAGTTATATAAAAAAAAAATCATATGTGAACAATCTTCTGACCGATATTCAAACCGGTAGTACAATTTAATGGCTTTAGCTGCAAACATAAAGAAGTGATATGGCAAAAACTTGTATCTGAACAAATAGTGGTATATAGTGAAGATATAGCTTATACAGCACCGATTTTGACGATTTAGACTTAAGTAGACTTTGTATGATTATTTAGAAAATAGCTCACGAAATTTCTCGGTTTTAGCCGTCCAAATTATGAAGTTGTAAAGTAAAACCCCATATCCGAACAATCAGTTGTATGGAGGATATGTGTTATAGTGACCCGATCTTTGTAATTTTTGCTTTGGGCTTTCTGTTGATAATGAGTGAAAATAATAGTGCGAAATTTTATGTTCTTTGCTCTATAGCTGAACAATCAGATGTATGGGTGCTATATGCTCTTCTTCTTCTTCTTCTTCTTCTTCTTTATTGGCGCTGTAACCGCCTAAGCGATTTTGGCTGCGTCCCAAACAGCCCGCTATTCGTTTCTCTTCTCTGCCAACTGATGCCAAGTACTTCTCCACCTGGTCTTTCCATCGAAGGTGAGGCCTGCCTCTTCCTCTGTTACCAGCATAGCGACGCGCGTTGAATACTTTCAGAGCTGAAGCGTTTCTGTCTATTCGAACGACAAGATCTAGCCAGCGTAGTCGCTGGATTTTACTTCGAAAAGGCCCGTAAATCTTTCGCAGAATATTTCTCACGAAAACTCCAAGAGCCGCTTCAATGATTTTAGATCCATAGTTTCTTCTAGGAATACTCTTATGCTATACGTGCATACTGAAAAAAATTGATCCGCCCTAGTATATAATATATTTGTACTTACAAACATCGAACTAAATTTATAATATCATTTCATGTTCATGAAAGGTATAAAAATAGCAACAAATACATAAATAATCTCAACGTTTTCATTATATGACCAAATAAAGATAAAACAGCAAGTGTGAATGAACAACTGAAATAAATAAAATAAAAATGTCACAACAAAGAAGTGTTCGAAGTCAATTTAACGGGTTCATTTTGTGACTACACACACAGGAAGTGAGTTAAACACGTATAATACAAATATAATAAAAAATAACGAACAAAAACAAAGGCTTGGATAAGTTGTTGAACCTTAACTTAACTGCCTATTCAGATGGACGAATATGTCGCTAAGTTTTTAGCAAAAACCAAAAGCACAAAACAAATGTGTCAATTATTATCAACACACATACATATACATACATACAATGTATGTATGTACATATATACTCATTTAATTCATTGCATTATGGATATGGTTATTGTTTTTCATAAATGGAAAGTGGTTATCAAAACAAAATGCAAACAATGAGATAACGATGACGACGATAGAGCCGGTGTGGATACGAGTAACGCGGGGGCTGCGAATGACGACGACGATGACGATGATGATGATGATGATGATGACGTCGCATGAGTTATGGTTTTTGCTACGCGCCAATTTATAGCGCCTCGCGAAACGTGACTCACATTTGAAAAGAAGTCGAGCTTAAAAAAAAAAACAACAAAAAAAAAACACTCAAAAGTTTTTTCCGTAATTATTCATGTGGGCAAATACGGCAAGAATTAAACAAATTTAAAAAATTAATAATTTAATTGAAGTGGCAGGCACACACATACGACCTCTGAATATTGTTTCTGTGGCAATCTGTGGATGAGTGTGCTGCACTGTGGTGCGTTTGAGCAAGCGCAACGCGAAATGTTTTGAATTGAGTAATGTGCCAAATGGCATTTGAGGTATTTATAATAACAAAGAAAAATGTATGAAGAAAAAATCAAGCAATCGAATATGTATGAATAATAATTACAATAACGAATAAGACGACTTTCATGCGTTCATTAGCCGACTGGCCATCATCAAGTTGCGTAGCAAAATTTGAAGCACTGTGTGCCATATGCCCGCCTGTGAATATATTCATACATACATATGTATGCATGTACATATTTGTATGTAATGAAGTGGTTGCGAATTTTTCATCCAATTGCGGTAACGAATTCAATCGACTTTTTTGTTTAATTTTTACTTCTGCTTGATTTAGTTGTTTTATTTATTTATTTTTGTTTTTCTTTTTTTAGCAGACATCAAAGTCAGCTAAGCTATCCATTATTTCTGCTCTTTGCTAGTTTAGCCGAAGCGTGTTGCCATGATGACGAAACGGCAATCCACAACAACAGAAGTGGCCAACTACTTACGATATGTAACCAAGTTTGAATGGTTAAATGGTTAGATATGTATGTATTAAAGTGCATACTCATATACATACGTACATATGTATGTACGTATACATATTTGTTTAAGTGTGTTCATCTATATAGGTACGTATTAGGAATGTTAATGCCGGGATCCCAGGATCCCGCCTTCTTAAGATCCCAAAAATCCCGGGATTCTTGGCAAATAATCCCGCGATTGTCATGATTTGTAATTTGCACTGATGTGAATAATAGAAACTCCTTTTCTTGACCAGTATTGGCTATATTTCTTTTTTTATTTAATAATTAATATTTTTTCATAAATGTCTAGCTCATTATACACATACCACCGCACGATAGTAAATTTTAAACACAAATATTAATGTATTCGCGAAACCATGGTCCAAATATAGTAAAATTACGTTTTTAATTTTTCACTCTGCCGTCAGTAATTCAAAAATGACTAAAAGATTCAGAAAAATGTGCTTAGAGAAGAAGAATGGGTATCAAATAAAAGAGGAACTTCTGTAGAATTTAAACAGGTTAAACATTTTGTGCAGAAGTGCTTGTAAGTATTGAAAATGTCCTTTTAAAATTTAATCCTGGAAATTTCGCAATATTCGTTTATGAAAAAATTACATGTTAAGGACTTGCATAAACTCGATAACATTTCGAATACCGTTGTTCTAACTTTATCAGCTTAAAAAATTACCTAATTCGTCCTTGTGAATTCAAAAAATTTAAATTTTTTTTAAACTCTAAAGAAACTTTCTCTTGCATTAGGTACCCATATTTTTATTCCATATTGCATTGAATTTTTCAAATAATTTTATTAAAATTAATCATATCTTTGAAATTACAAAGTCATTTAAAATACATTCTGATGTCAGAGAGAAAAAATAAAAACGCCACCCTAAATAAAAAAGTAGGTTTCAAACCCATTTATTTATTATTTATTTTTCGGAAGGAGAGCTTCTCAAACAATATAGAAGCAATTTTTTCGATTTAAGTTATTGAAAAGTAATGAATATGTACATAAATCCCGAGCCTAATCCCGGGATCACGGGGTTGTGATAACACCATCCGGTATCGGAAAAAGCTGAAAAATTAACATCCCTAGTACGTATGTATCACTAGTAGGTGTATAGGCATAAAAGTATTTACAAATACTTAGAATTTGTATGCCTCTATGTACGTCACTTAGTTGGTAAGAAATACTTTACACTTTAGCACTTAGCCTGATTTATTATTTTCAATTCAAAAAAAGTTACTATAGCAATACCGTAAGCCATATGCGATCGAAGAGCTTTTTTCAGAAGCGGCAAGTGTTAAGTGGTATTGATGAACTGTGCACTAGAACTGATGAAAATCTGCAAAATAAATAAGCAATTTTTTGCTAAATATGGCTAAAGAAATATTTTTTCAAGTAAAACATCGTTTTTAAGAGAAAGGATCCACAAAATGCTAATAATTAGGATACCAGATTGAGTCCTACAAGGTTAAATAAATTTTTGATTCTATTTGCGTGCGTTCTGCACTTCTCATATACATATGTATGATTCCAGCAATTTTTTCAATATTAAAAGAAACTTCCTAGTATAATTTTAATACGTTGAGTGAGGCGGGAAATGAAGCTAGGATTTGTCGTACATACATAAGTATGTATGTATATAGTGTAAGTTTACTTTGAAGTTGTTTTTTTTTTTAAAAGCGTTTATTATGTTTCACCTGCGTGTAATCCACTTTCCGATAAGCTAGAGACTTGAAATTGTAAACTTAGCTTAGAAACCGATGAAAATGCAATATGAAAAATTAATTAAAACCCATACTTAGGTCCCATATGCTTCATATTTAAAATGTTTTTTACTTTTATGAAAAGGAATGGATCCAAAAAAATATTGTCTGGTGGGCGATGCAGGAGTAGAGATATTTGAAAAAATCGTATTTATGGGCCGATTTTTTTTTTATATTTTCGTGTTTAGAACGTATATTTCTTAAATGGAAATAGATAACTCCACAAAGAATTTAAAAGTTATGTGGTGCGGGGTCGATTTTTTTCTTATTAAATGTAGACTAGCTCCGTGGATTTACTCATTTTTTTTCAGTAAGATGAGATATCAATTAGCCTGTAGTATACCAGCGGTTTTTCCCCAATTGTGCCTTATTGCCGCCAATTCATCCTCGGATTTAGCAGCAAAGCTTTACTCAAGTAGGACGATGATCGGCAGGCTGAAGATGCATTTAAGAGCAGCTGTTGGTGTGGTTCTTAGCGCTCCCTCGTTGCACAATGCCACGAGAGGCTAAACTTTCTCCACAGAACTGTGGCATTCAAATTTGTTTGTTTCATTCTACAATTCCAGCCATAGGTGCTGGTGACAATACATCCTTTGCGGAGAGCTTCTGCATATTTGGCTACCATGACTTCATTTAATTATGCTCTTATCTAAATACATATGTACATACATACAGCGGGTTCTAAACCTGCTGTTTGGATACCATTTAAAATAGTTACATAAGCATCTTTCGAGACATTGTTCCGCGCAGGGTTAAAAGGCATCGTGTAAATTGGCCCTTACTCACGTATTTTCTATGAATTTACAGCTGTAGTTGTAATTAATAAGTACATATGTACTTCATACGACATGGTGTACGCCGACCTCTCAACTTGGTTCAAACCGTGCAGTTTTTGGTCATATTTAACTTCACACGGCACCTAATTTTTCAATTTGGCACAAAGTGCACAATGACACTTTTGAAAGATAGCCATATTCAAATACAATTTTTGGGAAATCCATACATTTTTCATCAACTAAGATATTCTACTTAGTTTCT